ATAATTATATTGCCATGTTTCCTTTCTAATTCAGTATGTGTTCTTATTTAGGTGTGAAGAAGTATGAAATTATTTGATAGACAATTATATCCCCCTTTGGCAAAAACAACATTTCAATTCTCGTTTCTCTTACGTTTGATCTGAATTTTTGCATTGTGTGTTTCTAAATATACATGTAGGTGGTGTAGATCTAATTGAACTCATTTCAGACACCATTCATAGATCTCCAACTTAGCCTTATAATTTAGACACAACAGTGCAATGGATCTCGCAGTATGTCTCTTGGCTTGATGAAGACCTCTTGTTTAGGGGGTTTTATTGCGATCAAATATATATTGTGTGTGTGTGTGTGCGCGCGCGCATATATCTATACTTGTAAGCATATGTACACTCAAATAATAACTACATCATGTACGTGTATACGGTGCCGTATACGGATTGTTGCACTGCTGGTCAAACTGACTCGACATTGTTTCTTTGCCTGTATTAAACCATGACTTGTTTGTGAAAGTAAAGTCTGAAGTATACCTCATGCACTATCGAGTTTGTTACGTCTGTGCTGTGTATGGGTGATTGGTGAGTACATGTAAATTGTAAGCTACTCTGACCTGGTGTGACACTACTGTTTTTCTGTCTGGAGGTGGGTGGTTGGCGGTTGCACTGGTGCGGTTTGCTCCTTTCCTATCAAACATCTATCGAACTTATCTTTCCTTCTTCTTTTCATGCACTGACCAGTGGCCAGCTGCCGAAATGTACCGAGCCAAAAACTTTTTATTCTTTGTAATTGCAGTTTCATGATCTGTGGTATCGTTTGCATGTGCTCAAGCAATATTTTCGTTGAAATCTGACATTCTAAATGTTGAAGAAAAGTAAAAAAAAAATACATAATGTAGGTAGGTACTACAAGTTAGTTAAAATAATTAAATATACTTTTAACTCTCTCTCTCTCTCTCTCTGTCTCGCTCTCTCTGTCTCTCTCTCTCTCTCTCTCTCTCTCTCTCTCTCTCTCTCTCTCTCTCTCTAACACAATAGCTACATCTCTCGCCAAAAACTCATCCCAAGCAAACTACAACACCACTTTTCAAAACATCAAAACTAACAGAGAAAAACAACACCTAAACCCCCACTCAAACTACACTGAAACCTACAACGCAGACTTCACAATAGACGAACTAACATCGTGCATCTCGGACCTGGGCGATACAGCCCCAGGACTGGATGACATCCACAACCAGATCATTAGACACTTACCCTCAGAAACACTCACACTCCTACTACACATATATACAACGACATGTGGCGGTCGCACTCCTTTCCGGAGTCTTGGCGTCTCGCCACTGTCATTCCAATACCTAAACCAAACAAGGACCACACACACCCATCCAATTACAGACCAATAGCACTAACGAGCTGTCTCTGCAAACTCATTGAAAAAATGATTCACAGGCGACTCGTGTGGTTTCTGGAAACGACGGGCTCGCTGAGCGGGCTCCAGTGTGGATTCAGGAAAACTCGATCCACTCTGGATCACCTGGTCCGCCTGGAGACGTTTATACGCGAGACGTTCGCTGAAAGAGGCCACATGATCGCCATCTTTTTTTATCTAGAAAAAGCCTTCGACACAACTTGAAAGTACGGCATTCTTCGAGACCTGCACGCACTCGGCATACGCGATCACCTCCCTGCCTTCATTGGCAACTTCCTGAAGAACCGTTCCTTCCAGGTTCGTGTCGGATCCGCCCTTTCGGACCCCCACCAACAGGAGGAAGGAGTCCCCCAGGGGAGCATCCTTTCTCCTCTCCTATTCGAAATTAAAATAAATTCCATAGTAAAAACCCTCCAAAACAGCATAGACAGCTCGTTATACGTTGACGACTTTTTGATATGCTGCCGTTCGAAAAATTCTCATTTGAGATCTATGGAAAGGCAGCTACAAACGCAGCTGCACAAACTCGAAACGTGGGCAAACAATAACAGTTTCAAGTTCTCCCCGTCAAAGACGGTTGCAGTACACTTCTGCCGAACAGGCAGACGTGTGCTGCAGCCGGATTTTACACTATACGGGGAAAGGATTCCCGTCCAGGACCAAGCTCGTTTCCTCGACGTCATTTTCGACAAAAAAAACTCACTTTCCTACCACACATCAAAGACCTTCGTGTGAGGTGCCAGAAAGCGCTAAACGCTTTGAAAATTCTATCGCATCCGGAATGGGGCGGGGACTCAAAACACCTTCTCCACTTGTACATCTCCCTTGTCCAGTCCAGGCTTGACTACGGCTGTCAAGTCTACGGATCGGCAAAACCACACATCTTAAAAATGCTAGACCCAATACAAAAGGATTCCGCCTCGCTCTGGGGGCTTTCGGCACTTCTCCGGTGGTGAGCCTCCAGGCCGAAGCCAACATACCACCACTCTCACTCAGACGCACACAACTCTCACTACAATACGCAGTTAAACTGAGCTCAACACCGGAAAATCCAGAGCACGACAGCATTTTTAAAACAAACCCAGAAACCATAAACAAATTCCAAAACAACGAAAAACTCATCAAACCCTTCGGCCTCAGAATCCTTGAGAACCTCAAAAACTTACACTTTTCCAAACAAGACATCCAACAATTTATTTTCCCCGACCTCCCTCCGTGGCACCTCACCAAGGCAAAAGTAGACTTACAGCTGACCACACACAACAAAAAAAGCACAAACACCAAAACTTTTAAAGCAGAATACAAAAAACTAATAGATAAATACCCCGGTGCGGAGCTCATCTTCACAGATGGCTCCAAAAAAGACAATGAAGTGGACGCCGCAACCCTATCTTCCAACAGTACACACCAGAGGAGACTCCATCCTGAAGGCATGGCACTGGACTCCGTAGAAAACTCTCCTAACAAATCTTTCCTTATCCTTTCTGACTCTCTGTCTTGCATCACCTCACTCACAAACTACACACTCCTACATCCAAAAATAGTTAGGCTACAACAGAAAATTCATACACTATCCGAAACAGGAAAACTCATCATGTTCGCATGGATACCTAGCAATGTGGGCATCCGAGGAAACGAGCAGGTAGACGACCTGGCGAAGAAAGCTTCATCCCTTCTGCAGGGATCAACGACAAACACTCACCCACAGACTGACTTAAGAAATAAAATAAAAAAGTACACCTCCAGTCTGTGGGAGAGCCACTGGGAAAAACCAGAAAAACAATAAACTGTATGAAATAAACCCCAAACTGGAACAGCGAAATCCTTCGGACCTCTCCAGAAGAGACGAAGTCATTTTTACTCGATTGCGCATCGGACACACGGCCCTGACCCACAAATACCTCCAACAGGGAGATGAGAAGCCGTTCTTTGTCGGATGCGACACAGATTTTACCATTAGACACATCTTAACCGAATGTCTAGACTTTGGAGAGATCCGAAGGAAATATTATAAATGCAAGAAATTGCAAAACATTTTTTCCGTCGTTGTTCCCAGCAGAATTTTGAATTTTATAAAGGCCATTGGCCTTTATGGCAAATTGTAAAGTGAAATTGATACTATTTAAAATGTGTATGTTAACTAGAAAAATTGTTTTAGATCGAATATATATATATATATATATGTATTTATTTATATATATATTTTTAAACATTTTAACATTTTCAAGTCTTAAAGCTAACCAACCGTGCAGTGAATTGTTGCGAATGCAAACAACTTGTGTTTCGCGCGATCATATGACTTTACACAGTTGCGAGCGCCGTAAAACCCTATACTATTACTACTCCCTCCCCCCAACCTTAACTGTGGGTTGTTGAAGGGTGCCACTGGCAGGTAGCCTACATTTATTTTCTTTCCCTCTGTTGATTCTTTTCTTGCTTTTCCAAACCTATGAGTGACCGTTATTGCGTAGAGGACTAGATGTCCTTCCTTTTATTTAGTCAAACTGAGAAAATTCTAAGCTATGGGGGGTTTGTAAATAGTAAGTGCTCTGGTGTGGTATGCAGTGCTTCTTCTTTCCTATCAAATACATAGAAAGCCTATCCCTATCCACATTTTTTTTTTATATGCTACTCTTTAGTTGCACCTCTAATCTTGGGCACTTATATATTACCTATTTGTGTCATTATAAGTGCCGAAATACTCTTACTGAAACTTTATATGATTTTATGTGTTGCAAGTGCCGTAAAACGCTTACTTAAACTAAACAATCTTACTAAGACTAAGACAAACTCAAACTTAGGCTGCGGGTCAGTATGAGTCGTTCTGCATTAATGGGAAAAGATTATGTGATGATCGTTGGTTAAAAAAAAGACTTGATCAAAGCAACAATGCGGGACTTCAAGAAAGCCAAGGGCACACAGCTTTATTACATCACGTGTTTTCTCTGTCATGGAAAGATAAGAGGAATTCTTTCAACATAAGATTACTTTAATCAAGCAAACAATGTAAACACACACCCAACTCTCTCTCTCTCTCTCTCTCTCTCTCTCTCTCTCTCTCTCTCTCTCTCTCTCTCTCTCTCTCTCTATCTATCTATCTATCTATCTATCTATCTATCTATCTATCTCTCTTTTCACACACACACACACACACACACACACACACACACACACACACACACACACACACACACACACACACAAGCTCACACACAGCACGCACGCACACGCGTCTGTGTACTGTGTACACGAATTGAAACAGTTCTCCAGATTTACAGAAAATGATGAGAAATAACTTGCTGAGCTACGCAGAAATACGTGTTATATATCTTTTTTATTATTGCCTAAATGAAGTAAGCCTACAATGTTTTCATTGCTTGCATTTCCGAAGAATGTTTCACATCCCTATTTCGTTTTTTCTTATTCTTTGTTTGTTTCGGGTTGGGTTTTTTGTTTTGTCTTTTTTTTTGGGGGGGGGGTTGCTTTTTTTGTGGGTTTTTTTTTTTCCTTTTGCGTGGGGGGGGGGGGGGGGGGGGCTTCAGAGTCCTCTACTGTGCCTTTCGTCTCATTTTTTCTTGTCTAAATCCATTTTTTTCCCTTTCCAGTAGAATTTTTGTTTCGACCCTCTTTCATGTTTTATCATCTTGGTGAGGTTGTTGTTTTTTTTAAACTTAAGTTATCGTCCAAGCGGACCACATGATTCCAGGCGTTTCGCTCATTCCACACACGTAGATCTAGATCTAAGATGAAGGTTTACTTTTTAACTTTGCCTTTTTTTTAAACCGTGACTCACAATGGCTGTCATTTCGTGGAAGTTCCTCTCTTTTCTCAAACTAGAAAAAAAGGAAAACCTGATTTACACTATCTCAGTCCAAATTGGCCCTGACGGGCAAGGTCAAAACCTTAACCTGCCTCCTAAATAATCTAAATTGTGTTGACAAGGGCTTAAAAAGCATCTACATAAACAAATAAGAGAAGTACACACGGTACGTTTGGATACATGAGAAAATTTGACCACGCTGCGAGCTCAGTGGATCGACAGGCGTCGTCTTCCATTTTTTGATTTCGCCTTGTTCCTTTGTGCTGTTCATCTTCTGGTATCAGTACAAGTTAGTCCAAGACTACCCTCTGTGCAATCCAGCATAGTACAAACTATCGTGCACCTTACCGTCATAAAATCAGTAATCTGACCATCATAAATTCAACGAAAAGTTGCCAGTAAGCAAATTATGACAGCACATAATGTCTCTTGGTGGCGAAATGTTCGTTAGATTAACGATGTGCCTATTATGGGCCTATATGCACAAAAGATCCGGGCTTTTTTGCCACATCATGGCAAAAAGCAGTTTTGGCCAACTTGTACTTGGTCGTAGGGTGGATGATCTCCTTATTTGTCACCTGGTGGTGGGGGCGATCACATCTTCTTCTTGGCGTCACCAAATACACCGTACAAGCGACCAGAGCAAGAAGAGGACGAAGGCGGAACCACCAGCCACCAGCATGTACAGGCGAGGGTCCTTCCTTCGAGCCTGTGGACAGGAATAGGCACGTTTTAGCTGATTTCTTTTTTCAGTGGGCCTATTATAAGAGTTTTACGGCACTTTCTATTCTCAAACAGATCAAGTGAGTGTCAAGGGCTAGAGGTGTCATGAGAGAGAGAGAGAGAGAGAGAGAGAGAGAGAGAGAGAGAGAGAGAGAGAGAGAGAGAAACATAAAAAATAAAAATAAAAGAAGGGGCAAATTTAAGGAGGAGAGGCAAGGACGATAGATGCTTAATAGGAAAGAAGTAGCAAACCACACAAAAACATCCGCCAACAGGTCATGTCAGTGCCGAATATTAGAGGTGTAATAGAGAGTAGCATACAAAGAAAAGGGGGAGAGACAAAGACGATTCGATTATTGACAGTAGAGAAAGAGCAAACAACGATTGTCAGTGGGTGGTTAGTGGGTACACTTGTTTGAATTGCTCCTTCTTTCCTATCAAACATCCATCGTCTTTACTCTTCTTCTTTTATCACTGTTTAGCCATATCTCTAATCTTCGACACTTATATGACCTAATTGTGTTGCAAGTGCTGTAAAACTCTTACGTAAACTAAAGGAAAAGTTTGGAGGAAGGACACAAGAGACTGGAGACGCTAGTGGAGGAAAAAGATCATGCAGGACCATAAAGAAAATCACGCAATGTCTTCGAGACAGCTTTCTTTTTCTTAAAAGCACATGGAGTGTGTCCTCAAGCAAGACAAAATCCAAAATCTCGAACACATGGCCCCACGCCACGGCCTAGGAGACCAGTAACGACTCCTTCGTCTCAATTAGATCTGGTCGTCTTTACAAAGCACATTGATTTTTTTGCACGTGTCATCGAGAACAAATCTCCCTTCGTAGATCAATATAAATGACGTGTTGACATCCACACAGAAGATCCCCTTTGACAAGCGTATAGATCTACGTTTGGCCACTGAGATGATGAATTGATATTAAAAGCGGTGCGCGTGTATTTTGAACTGGTCAGGTCTCTGAGTGATGGGGTCGAGTCGGATAGACAGGGTTGGCGTGTTCCCTTGCCAAACTTGACCTATGCTTTGCTTCAATGAAACGTCGCCAAGATTTTAAAATGTATTAATCCCAGGTGCCAAAATTTTACAGGAGATAACAAAACCGCTTCCTTCTTTTTACAATTGTACCCACTTACATTGTGGTGTTGTTGTGGTTGTTTTGTGTGGGGGGGAGGGGGTTGTTTGGGTTGATTGGGTTGTTTTTATCAACATTCAGAATTTGAATTTCAACAAAATATTCTTTGAGCACATGCAACAGATAGCAACAATTGAGGAATTGCAATTCAAAAATTACTATCAAAATTCGGAGTCTAATAGCCTCTTATTTTAACAGATGGTCGACGATATTCGACTTGACGCGGCCATGTCGTTCGAGTGTCGTGGTAAAAGAAAAGACAAGCGATACAAATCAATGGTTGCTCTTCCGCCAGCCCTCCAAGTAAGTAAGAGTATTGGCTTGACGCTCCGGTCGACACTATTAGGTCATGTCAGAGGTGAGACTTTCGAATTTAACGCCAGTCTCCGATAGGACCGAGCAAAATGGGTAGAGAACCTTGAAAGCTACACAAAACGAGCAAAGTTCAAGAACATCCAGTCTGGGATTCGAACCATCGCATTGCCATCCGCTCCGTAGTCCAGCATGATACCAACTAAGCCAATGGAGCACCCAGCTGCGCCCTTCCCATAGAAAAGCCTGGTCTCAGTTTTGTCGAGTGGTCACCTTTAGATTGGCTCTTATAACAAATCTACGATATTGTAAGCCCAACAACCCCCCCCCCCCACCCCCCCAAACAAAACAAAACACAAAAAAAACGTTTGATTGTAGACCTTCTGATCAAGTTGTACCAAAACTGGGGCAGAATAAGGACATTAGGTCTGACCAGTCGCAGCAATTCTGTACATCATGCAGAATCGAACCGGAATCGAACGAGCGTACATTGGCAATTATGTCTCACAGTTCACATCAGACTGCCAACTTCTAGTGTGTTACTTTGAACACTTTGAAGGTGTTGGACACGTGATGGGGAAGGGAGGAAAAAAACGGGTTCGTTGGACACGACATAACTATTAACGCCAACTTCCTGTTCCCCAAATCTCTCTCTCTCTCTCTCTCTCTCTCTCTCTCTCTCTCTCTCTCTCTCTCTCTCTCTCGTG